TATCAGCAGATTTTTGATAATAAATGAATGCTTTATGTTCATCTTTTTCAACTCCAATTCCATATTGATAACAATGGCCAATTAGGCATATATTGGAATCTTCAGTCTCAGTAAGTGTTTGTTCAATCAAAGGTATATCAATAGATTTTTTATTAGTTATATTTTGGCGATGACATTTTTGAGAGGTATTGTCCATTTTAATGAAAATTATCTAAAATTTTGGTGGCCAGAGTTCTAAATTCAAATTTATATATTTTCGATAGAAATGCCTTGCGTAACCATCAGAAATAAGTTTAACAAAGCAATTTATATTTACGTATTAGTAACTTGTACTCAAAATTAAAAATTCAACATGTTGAATAGCACAATTCAAATGCCATTCAACATCAATGATGCACGACAAATGACAAAATTTTTGTCATTGATTAATAACGAATCTTTCGTTATACAATTTCTAATGATGAACTGAACTATGACGAATAATAAAACACATGACGAATAATGAAACACATGACGATTGATGAAGCGTAAGAAAGTTATTCATTACTTTCTTAATGGAATAAATTAGTATGTGAAGTTAATTTTTTGATCATTATCTTATTGTTTTGACATTACTCGATGAATTACATTAATTGCCTGGATGTATCCAATAGAAAAATACTAATAATAAAAAAATTATCAACTTCATGCTCAATAAGATTCAATGATATGCCTTATTTAAACCAGTATATATGTTGTGCGTCAAATTAAAATCTACGTCAAATTAAAATCATTAGAATTCCGCTAATGCCCAACACAGGCACCCTAAAAAACTCCGCATTTAAAATTTCATCTGATGCGAATTTAATCTATATAAAAATAAAATATCAAAAATAATATATCTTGCTGTAAATTCATATGTATTACATCTTAATATTTACATCTTACTTTAAAAGAGGTTAAGTATTAACTATTACAAAAATTAAGAACAATTAACTCAAATTCTTAAGATTTAAAATTCCAGGGCAGTTAGAATCAAAAAAGCAGTTAGTAAAATTTGTAACATCATTAAACAAATCAAAAATATTTTTTTAGTAAGAAGCTTACAAGCGCAATTAAGTGTACATTCAGCAATTGCTAAAACGCTAGGAAATACAACATTATCTCCACATTGAAAAGACTGAGCCATGCTTTATTAGGATTAAAGGTAACTGGAGTTTGGCAGTCCTTACATTTTGATATGGATCTAACTAACATTACAAAGTTTACGCTCTTGATAAATATGACCGCGGTAGTGCAAGAACCTCCGAAGGTTACTAATGAAGATGTTATTATGACCGTTAATCCTTACCCTAATAGTTCTAACAACTCCATTCAATAGACTCAGAATTAATTTATTCCAAATCTATTAGACCTAAACCACTTAAATAAAATTAAATATTTTTATAAAAACCTCACAAACCATATTTATTCTTCATTTCAGCATTGATATACCGATTAGCAGTAA